TTTACTTTTTAAAGCCAGGAACTTGAACACCCACTTGTAATCCCAGGGCAGGGGAGGAAGACAAGTGGACTGCTAAAGCTGGTTGGCTGGTTAGCCTAGCCTACTTGGCAAGTTCTAGAGAGACAGAGAGAAGAAATGGAAGCATTGGCAGTTGAAATGTGTCCAGTGCTTGCCATTCAGGCAGGGCAGAGGGTTGTCACTTTATATGTGTAGTCTGATCTGAACATCCCACGTGCCCTGAGAGACACCTTTGCAAGTCTCATTCTAAGGGTGATGTGACTCAGGCCAGAAGACACCAACACACACGGTTAGGGTTCTTGCCCACACCCTGCAGTGGTTCTGTTCTCACTTGCTACAAGATTGATGTCAAAATGAGGCAGGAAGTAAGGTGAGGCGGGGAAGGAGGCATGCTAAGTGAGGGAGGAAGTGTCTCTGAGGGGAAGCTGGATGTGTTTCCCAGGCCCCAGAGGGGCAAGGGAATGAGCTTGTAGGAAAGAGGGAGCTCTACAGAGTCAGTGAGAAGTGAGAGTCTTGACTGCGAGGGCCATTTGAGCTCCATTCTTTTGGATTAAGAATCAACTGCACAGCCATATCTCTGGAATATTCTGTAGAAGGGGAATAGATGTAAGTTCAGACCATGGCAACCTACTCAATAAGCTAATTTTGTCTCTCTCCCAGTGACAGTCGAAGAGAGAAGGCACAATTGGAGGGCCAGCCTTTCTTTTCTTTTGACAGCAGTAGGGACAGACCCTAGGCCATGCATGCAAGGCAAGCACTCTACCACTGAGCAGTAGCCCTGCAGGCATCCTCTTTTTACATGGACTGTGCTTTTCTCCATGAAGTTCTGCCGATAACTGTTAAACAATACCCTGCATGCTTGGCAACCAATGGAGCAATCGTGAAAAGTGGCCCAGAAGGAAGAGCCAAGTCCTCACCTCACAAAACATGGGCAACTTTTTGGCAAAATCCACCACTCTGGTGATTGCTGGTGTGATGATTTTTGTAAAATGGCTGAAGGCTTCCAGGTCGACCTTGCCACCTTCTGGGGCGTTCACGATGGGTGCTTGTCCAATGTCTTCCGGCTGAGGAGGAGAAGTGAGAACAATTTCAGCAAAGCTGAAGAAACCTTGGTTTAGCACAGCGCTCATACAGCAGGGAAATAAGACCTGTCACTTCCAGGTGCCCCTGTGGGTTGACAAAGTGAATACCTTTCACATTATTTACGTCTTTGAGCAATTGTGCATGCCTTGGCCATTGTTTTAATAGGCTATGAGGGATCATGTGCACAGGCCTGTTGAGGGAGAGAGAGAAGAGGATGGGGAGGGAGGGGGGAGGGAGGAAGAGGTGGAGGAGGAGGAAGCCGGATAGTGATCTGGGTTGTTGTGCTGGCACAAGGGGTCACACTCAAGCCTGGTGGTGGGAATTCCAGGCCACTGGGATGGCACATTCAGAACACCGTGTGTTTTGGGGGTTGTGTTGGGAAAGTGTGCAGTGAGGACAGTAATGGAGGCGCACAGTAAACTCTAGGGTTCACATTCTTGCTTCTGACTCAGTGCCTAGAGCTCAGGTTCCTTCCCGTTGGGTCCAGTTTGATGGTTCTTGGCTGATCACTGAGAGGGACTATCTCTTAGCCCACTGTAGGGAAACTGTGTTGTACAAGCTGGGCAAACCTTATGGTATGGTGGGACATTTACTTATCTGTAATGTCCCCAGAGTTCTTTGCTGTTTACTTGCTCAGAGACAATCCATGGCTGAGCTTCTCAGTGGACAATGGTGTGGCTGTCACTTGGGGATGCTCTCAGGCCCTCCCTGGACCTGATTGTTCAGAAGCATAGTTTCAGCCTGGTCCCAGGTGACTTGTGCATGGTAGACTTCCCTACATCACAGGTCCTCAGTGGGCGTTCTGTTAGCTCCCCTAGGGTATCTTGTGCTGTCTCCGTACTTTTTATGAGGACAAGCCTCTATGACGCTAACAACCACCATTTATGTGTGGCCTAACAGCACACCCATGCCAGCCTCCACTTCCTATCACAGAAGTGGCTCACAGAAGTTTCGGCCTTGAGAAAAGCCCAAAAGCAGGCAAGGGAAACAGCTCTATAACGTCTGCCCACTTTCTGATGCTGGGAAACAGAAGGGCTTTCCAGCATCCTCCCGGAGCTGGGTCACCAAAGAGATCAGAGACCCATGGCTGTGGGATGGTGGGCCATCTTTGTCTAATGCTACAGTGAATGGATACAAGCAAGACTTGATTTCTCAAGACACCAAGTGGTGGGAGTGGGGGTAGGTGGCAGAGAGTGGGGCAGAACTACCCCTCCTTATTTGCAGAGTAGCCACAGCAATGCCCACTGCTCACGGCAGGACTCTGTGGAGTAGCCACAGCAATGCCCACTGCTCACAGCAGGAATCCATGGAGTAGTCACAACAACAGTGCCCACAGCCCGAGACAGGACCCTGTGGCTCCAAACTTCACTGTGTTCCAGATTTCTATGCCTCATCCCTCATGTCTGGATCCAGAGCCAGCAGGACTAAAGGATCTGTCTTTCTACGGAGGTTTTGGGATGTGCTGCTGCTGGTCGTCTGGGCCCCTCTGAGGATGCCAGGCAGTCAACGAGCAAAGTTCAGCATGGGCCACTGCAGCAACCATCTTTACTCTCATATCCTGAGAGTGGTCACATCTCACAGGGATCACTCTTACCCTCAAGCTGCCAGTATCTCAGGAACCACAGTCCCTGCAAGCCCGGGGAAGGATTCTGAGAATGTGTGTGTCCACAGAAAATGTGGGCAGTGCTGGCCAATTTGAAATTTTCCATGGGTCCATCTGTGTGTGTGTGTGTGTGTGTGTGTGTGTGTGTGTGTGTGTTTTATTTGATTGTTTTGTTGGTAGCAAATGGATGGAATCTGGGTTATGTCACGTTTTCATAGTGAATGGTGATATTCTGGGATAACCAATGGTATCTGGCTTTTCTGGACACAGATGGGATAGATGGAATGATGGTGTATACAGTTCCTGTCCTACTTTCTGTCATTGCCTGAGCTGGGGGAAAATGTACATCAGGCCTATTTTGAGGCCACTGTTGCCTGCATCTTGAGAATCTTGTTGGCTTGGATAATCCCTTCTTGCCCTGATCAGGAGGCCACTTTTGCCTCCCTGTCTTCTTCACAAGCTCGTCAGAAGACCAGCTGCTAAAATGAGCATGGCCACATAGTGACATGGTGGGAAGCTCTGAGTGAAAAGTAGTGATACCACACACACACACATACACACACACCTCAGAAATAATACATTTTTGTTTATATATGTGCTTGTGTGTATGAGTGTATACATATGCGTTTGTGTATCTTATGCACGTATGTGCACATGTAGAAGCCAGAGGTTGAAGTCGGGTGACTTCTTCAGTTGCTTTCTAGATGGTGATGATGATGAGGAATGTTAATTTATTTTTAAAATTTATTTATTTATTTTTCATGCTTGTGGATGTTTTGCCTGCACATATATGTGTACCACGTGTATTCCTAGTGACTATAGAAGCCAAAATAAGGTATTGGATCCTCTGGGGCTGGAGTTACAGATGGTTTTGAGCCACCATATGAGTGCTGGGAATTGAGCCTGACCCTCAAATGTCCATTAGATAGGACTAATCTGACTGTATTGAAATGGTCAGTGCCATGCCCACTAGTTTTCATTCTATCTGTGGGAAGAAAAGCAATGGGATCACTTCCTGTGACCAGCAATTTGAAGGAAGGAGGAGAATTATGCAAGAGAATATGGCAACAGTAAAATTATAGCCCAGATGGAACAGCTTTTCTGTTGGGAAACAAACATCAGAGTGGAAAAAAAGCATTCTGTTGCATCATCAAGGTTTATTTCCATAATGGATCTCAGGTACTAGGAAAAAGAATCTGCAAAGGAGGTGAGTTGCCATCTGGTATTTGCAAATGCCCATGTAATTTCCCTGTGGCGTTTTCACCCACAAGGACTGGGTTCTTCTGGGATCTGTTTGATACCTTATTGTGACTAGGGCCTTGGGTACCAAGAAATGGGTTTGATCCTATGTCCAGTATTTGTGCCTCAGTACCAAACTCCAGCACCAGTGATGACTCTGGGGTGTGCCCACGTGCTTTGCTGCCCTTGCCTGCTGGACCTGCCGGCTCCCTGAGCTTGCTCATAGGGCATTCCAACAGTAACACTGACTTCTGTCCTCTCTGCCCTAAATGGACCACCTGGGTCAGCACATCTGACCTTACCACCTCTACCCCACAAATTGCTTTTGTCTTTTCTACTGCAGCCTTTTGCCTGGTTCTTCCCTTCCCCTGAAGCTCCTACTTCAACCTCTCATCCTATCTACTGCAAACCCCAACTCAAATCCTGTCTGCTCCTAGACATCTTGATATGACCTCATTTGAAATGATGTTGACCTCCTTTGCACAGTTCTGGTGGCCAGTGGGTATCACTATCCTGGTGCTGAACATGTTACTCTTATTTTTTTCATAGTTATCTAGGCACTCATCAAAGACAGAGACTTCTCAAAGGGGAAGGACTAAGCCTTCGTGTTTTTGCCTACTGTGTACCAGGCCTTTGCCTGAAGGGCAGACAGTATGCTTGTTCGTATATTCACTTGCCAGCACATCTCAAGTAAATGCTATGAGTTGGATCTCACTCTGAATGCTGAAATTACAGCAGTGAACAATGTCTCACAAGGTAAGTTGCATTGTAGTGAGGGGGGATCGAGGATAGGCAAGAAAAATAAATTCACAGAAGAACTGCAGTTACTGATAAGCCTGGAGATGGCGTTAGTCCATCAAGGCCAGGAGATGGGTGGTACCAAGGTCTGGTTGAGAAGCACAGTGGTCAGGGCTTTGTCCTGAAGAATGCCAAGGTGACAGTTGTCCATGGGGTTAAAGGAGGATCATGGGAGGTAGAGGGAGGAGCCACTAGTTGTGTTTGGAATATGAAATGTTCCTCTTGGGCTCACTTGTGCAAACACTTGCTGGCACGCTGTTTGAGAAAGTTATGTAACCTTTAGGAAATGGAGCCTGGATGGGGGAAGTAGGGCACTGGCAGGTAATCCACAGTTTCACTGCCCAGTCCCCACGTCCTATCTCTTCTCAGCTTCCTGAGTGCTGATGCAAAGGGACCAGCTGTCCCCTGCTCCTACTGCCGTGCCCTCTTGGCCATTGTACAGGTGAGTTTTAATGTCAGTTTGGGAACGAGCTGGGAAAGGAGGGAACCCCAATTGAGAAAATGCCCCCATAAGATCTGGCCAGGCATTTTTCCTAAGCAATGGTCGATGGAAGAGGGCCCAGCCCATTGTGGGTGGCACCATCCCTGGACTGGTGGTCTTGGGTTCTACAAGAAAGCAGGCTGAGCAAGCCATGGGGAGCAAGCCAGTGAGCAGCACTCCTCCATGGCCTCTGCATCAGCTCCTGCCTCCAGGATCCTGCCTGAATTCCCTCAGAGATGGACTGTTACCTGTAAGTGCAAGCTGAAATAAACCCTTCACACTCCCAGGTTGCCTTGGTCATGGTGTTTTGTCGCAGCAATAGTAACCCTAACTAGGACGGCCACAATGAACTAGTCTCCTCACACTGTAAGTCAAAGTAAGCCTTCCTTCCTTGAAGCTGCTTATCATCAGGGATTTGTCAGAACCATGGGAAGAGAATCGAATATCCTGGTGCAAAATTCAGAGGACAGAGGAGAGATCCAGAGGAGGTATGGAGCTCATCAGAGAAGCATCATGCTGGACCCCATGGACCACAGGAGGAGAGAAACATCTAAATACAAAACCATGCTCAGTGAAGGGCTACAAACAGAAGAGAGGCCTGATGAGACATCTGGTCGTTGTGTTGGGGGAAGGGTTGAGCCAGAGGGAGAAGCTTCCAGTGATAGCATGAGGTGGTCCTCAGTGGGGGCACTTAGTAAGATGCCCTGGCTGTGGATTCAGAAACCCACAGTGACCTGGCTCCTCTGGGCCGTGGAGACAGAGAGGTACAGAAAAGGGGTTCAGACATGTGTATGCAGGCATCAGTCTTGGCTCAGCACTGGGGAGGATGGGGTTACACAGATCTCTGCCAGCTGGCTCTCCCTGATGAGGTTTCCTTAGCATTGTTGGAGGTAAGTAGGAGATGTGGCCAGTTGGCCTTGTTTCAGTGGCTGGCTGGAAGCCAAGGACATCTCAGCTTAGCCTAGCAGCTCTCTGGCACCGGCAGAGCGGGATTCGGCCAGGTAGATGAGTCCTCTCTGCTCACCAGGTGTCTGCTCTCACCGTTACAAAGCCATGTAGAAGGACCCTGACACTCAGGGCCTTGGGGCCTTGGACGAGACTCCAGGCTTAGACTTCCTGGGATGAATGGGATAAGATGGTGACGGTGGTAAGGGGTGGTGGATGATGCATGGAGCACGAGATGCCAGGCACTGCTGTACTTTATAGAGGCCAATTTTACACCATTTGAGACAGTCGCAAAGCAAATAAGCTGTAGGCGGGTATGTGACATAGCTTCCTCAAGGTCACACAATTAGGAAGGGTTAGACCCATGGTCTTTGTCTCCAGTGTCTGTTCCCACACAGCTGGGCTCTCCTGCCTGCTTCTGAATGATTTGGGGTGGTAGACAATGCTTGTCCCCTGATCTGACCACACGGACCACCAATGGATGTATCTGATGCTCCAGGCTGTGCCCCTCCGACGCTGTACGACTGAGAATGTGGACACTAGGCAGCGATTTGGCCCAGGTCAGGGGTGGGGTGGGGTGGGACAGGTCTGCCCTGACTCCAAAGGTCACATTTCATCCTTGTACAGAAAGTCTGCCAGCTGAGCCTCTCTGGTGAGCCAGAGAGAACAGTGGCACAGCGTCACCAGTTGATGACAACAGCAGGCTGTAGTGGGTGTGGGTTTTGTGCCAACGTCTTCCTGCCACCGGGAGGGTAGAAACAAGCCTCCCTCCTCAGCCCACTTCTGCTTTTCATAACAGTGTCTTCACTGTTGAAAACATCTCTGTAACCTCGGAGACTGAGGGAGATTGAAAAAGCACGAAAACAACACGGTTTAAATGCTTTTGGATGGCGTTTGACAGCATGGTTTTAAGTTCATTATGAAACTGCTTGGCTTTTACAAAAGTTCCTCATTTGCCAAACGCTCTCATTTTCTCAGATGGAAATACAATCTGAAAACCAGATCAGCCCACCATCTCTTTTCTCTGACTTGGTTGGACCCTGTCCTTAGGGGACCAATGAAGAAGCAGTTCCTTTGGGGGACCAGACACTCATTCCTGGTGAGTGAACAGTGCAGCTTCCATGACAGCACATGGTTCTTCATCCCTCGTGGCTACTGTGCGACCAAGGCCACAAGCCTCTTCACACCCCTTTCCAGAACAAAGTGGAGTATCAGCACATAAATGCAATCGAATGCAGCGCTCTAAACACCAAGAGGGCACAGACATTCAGGAGATGCAAACCTGAAAATGTCCTCCTGGCCACAGCGGACTTTTGGTGCGTAGATATTGTTCTCCTTTGCTTTCCATTGCTGTGATAAAACACCTTCAGCAAAAGCAACTCGACAGAGGAAAGGGTTTATTTAGCTTATACCTCCTTGTCATAGTCTCTCATTGACGGGAGCCAGGGAGAATAGTGATACAGCGTCACCAGATGATAACAAGCAAGAACTCAACAAGAGCTTGGAGACAGGCCTGCCTGCTAGTCCCAGTGGATACTTCTTAAACAGAAAAACAGATTCTGGGCTGGAGAGATGGCTCAGGTGAAGAGTGTACACTGCTCTTGCAAAGGACCCAAGCTGGGTTCCCAACACTCAGATTAGGGGTCTCACAACCATCCGTTACTCCAGCTCCAGAGGGATCTGACACCTCTGATCTCTGGGGGCATCGGTACCCACATACACATATTCCCACACAGACACACATGCATGCACATATGCCCATACATACACACATGTACCCCCCCCATATCCCCACACAGACATACACATAGACACACATACACATATCCCCACACAGACACACACATACACACATCTCCACAGACACAATACACATACATACACACATCTCCACACAGACAATACACACACATACACATATTCCCACACTGACACAATACACACACATACACATATTCCCACACTGACACACATGCATACACATAACTTCAGAGGATAAACCCTTAGATTCTGAAAAAGAAACACTTGGTGATGACAGAAACAGGCTTAGTTACATTCATCCCACCTATGAGTTAAAAAATGAAAGCATGAATGGCCCCTGACTCCTCCATCTGAGTCGGAATTCAGCTTGAATTCCACTCCTTGGGGGTGACTTGAAATGGGAATGGAGCACCAGGTCCACACATGTGAGGCAAGGGTAGACTTCGATGGACTCAGTCTTGTGGGCGTGCTGGTCCCTGCACTGATGTGGTCTAGATATATTGATTTGGAATTGACCTGTTGATTCAGAATTTCTCAACAGGCACACCAGGGTGGGGGCAAAGGTTAAGTACCTGCCGCCCTCCAAGACCTCTTTTAAGGCCACACGAGTGGCAGGCAGGAGGAGTCCTGACAGACCTGGCACTGGCTGCACATGCTTCCCATGTTCTAGCACGATCTACTGTAGGAGCCCCCATAAGCTTCTCATACAACTCTCGCTGTAAATGGAGGTGCTCTGTCTTTGCCTATAGGGTTGGATAGGGACTGAAGAGCAGGGCTCGCAGGGTTTAGGCTCAAATCTAGCATATCGTGAGCATCACTTGAGTGCTGGGTGACTTTTCTAGAGGCCATCAACAAAGGACTGGTGACATGTGACAGTATCTGTTCACATGTCAGTGAGAGAATTTCAGGATAGGTGGATTATGCACAGCCCCGCCCCCTGCCCCCAAATGCCTTGTATGACTGTTATTTGTGGTTCTGGGGATAGACCGTGGATCTCACGCAGGCCGGGCAAGTGCTCTCCCACTGGGCTATATCCCAGGCTTTTACTTTTGAGATAGGATCTCATTAAGTTGCCTAAGCTGGACTTGTAGCTCAAGCAGGCCTTGAACTTGCAATCTTCCTGCCTTGGCATTCTGTGTAGCTATGATTGCAAGCCTAAAACCACTGCACAGTAATGCTGCCGTTGCAGTGCACAGGTAATTCCACCGCTATTGATTCTTGCTTAGGGGGAGCAACTCTGATGTAAGACAGATCTACAGGTCTGCCTGCCAGCAAGGCACCCACAGGAGCCTTTATGTCTTACACTGAGAGCAGAGCCAGTCTTGGCTAGATGCCGCCTAGAGCAGGTGGTCTGTTTGGAGAGGTGGGTGGGGTGAATTGGACCAGAGGACCTGTTGACTTTGGGGCCTGGCTTAACCACTTACCATCCATATGACTTTGGGCTTGGCTTATGTGTCTGTAAAATAGGGGTAGTAGCTCTAGCAACCTCAAGGTGCTAGGAAGTCTAGATGAGAAATGGCTGACAAGACTTTCACTCTAAAATCCAGTAAGCACCCATAGACCCTAAAAGATCTGTCTTGTCTCTATACCTTCCCTATCATTACATTTAATTCCCTGGACTCAAGCTTTTATTCCTAGATAAGCATTTTGACTTCAGCAGATAAAAACTTAGATCGTGGGGAGGGGACACTGTGGTCTGGATTAAAACAACAACAACAACAATAATAGTATCTCGAAAAAAAAATATAATCTCAAAGCCAAACAACAACAACGACAAAAGCTTAGATCTGAGGTCTGGGGCCCTTCTTCCCAGAGATTCCGCTGAAGGGGGCTTGCATGTGGAGGAGCCTCAAAGGCTGGGTGTATACACTGGGAATCTGGGTAGAAGCGGGAGGGGGAAGGGTAAACCAGCAGGTGTCAGAATTTCCTGTCTCATTAACAGAAAAGCACCCTGAGGTCAGAGGCCTGGGAAGCTTCTCTGGGCTCCGGGAAGGACCATTTGCACCAGTTGCACCCAGGCTGGCATGACTGTAGTTCCAGCTCCTGGCCTCTCTGAGTTGCGCCATCAGGAAAATGGGGCACTAAGGACAGCAGGGTCCCCCAAACGGAGGCAGAAAATGGGAGATAAACACGGAGAGTGAACCTGGCAAGGACCTTACCAGAAATTTCCGCTTCTGCTTCCAGTGGCTGCCCTGGGCGTTGGTGGCCACATGGGCCTCGGTGACAGTCTTGATGAGCTCCCATTCCTCATCCGTGGGCTCTGGCTTGTGCCCGATTGATTTCTGCAGCTCTTCCCGCCGCCTCTTCTCACGGTTCTCCTCTATCAGCTTCCGCTTGGCTAGCCTCTTGCTGTCATCCAGCACCACTGGGAGGAAGAAAGGCGAGAGGGACTGCAGGTGACCAAGAGCTTGGAGCAGACTGTAGGTTGTGAGCCCCAGGGACCCTGGGCTTGATGGCTTAGAACAGTGGTTCTCAGTGTCCCTAAAGCTGTGACCCTTTAATACAGCCCCTCACGTTGTGATGACCTCCAACTGTAACATTATTTTGTTGCTACTACATAACTGTAATTTTCTACTGTTATGAATCATAATGTGAGCATCTGTGGTTTCCAATGGTCTTAGGTAACTCCTGTGAAACGGCTGTGACCCACGGGTTGAGAACCACTGGCTTAGGGGTTCTCCTTCTATCTGACTAACCCTGCCCAGTGTGAGCCCAGCGCCAAGCTCCCAGTGCCCCAGACCAACTTTCCAAAACAGAGCTTTGAAGGAGCCTGGGCACCAGAAATTCAGCTCTACAGAAGGCAGCGGCCCTAAAATCAGACGGAAGCACAGAGACTTACGACCCACACTACTTGGCAAATCAATGGAGTTGCCTGCTATCTGAATTCATTCCTGGGGCTGGACTTCAGTTCAGGAAGTTGACTGGAGTAGTGATGGGAGGGGAAAGGACTCTTCCTGACTCCTATAGGGGCAGACTGTGATGGGTTGGGGATTCTCTCCAGCCTCTCAAGACTTTGTACCCTATCTTCCCTTGACATAGATGAAGAGGCTTGACTTGGAATCTAGAAAGACTTGGGTTTGAACCCTGACACTATCCCTTTCTAGCGGTGTAACTTCTAAGCAGTTTCTTAGGCTCTCTGAGCTTTCCTGTCTCCCTTATTAGATGGTATCAATAACACTCATGCACAAGGTTGCATTACGGCAATGAACTGTAAGTGTTCAGTGAACATAGTCATTAGCTTTAGCATTTGTGCAGAAAAGGAACAGGAAACTTATCTTCCTGTGATCAGTTTCCCAGCGAGACCATTCCACTAGACTTGTGGTGAGACTGAGAGGCTCAGGCTTTGTTTTACTTTACTTAAAGATTATTATTATTGTGTGTGTGTAAAGATTATTATTATTGTGTGTGTGTAAAGATTAGTATTATTTTGTGTGTGTAAAGATTAGTATTACTATGTATGTGTGTATGTAGGGGTGTGCACATATGAGGTGGTACATTTGTGCAGGTCAGAGGATAACTCCTTGGACTTGGTATTCTCCTTTGACCATGTAGGTTCTGAATATCAATAGGCTTGTGTGGTAAGTACCTTTACCTGTACATAACCTTTTCATCTTGTTATTTACCTAAAAATTGTGTGTGTGTGTGTGTGTGTGTGTGTGTTAGTGAACCACTCTGTACACATGCAGAGACCAGAGAAGTGTGGTAGGTGTTTTGCTCAACCCCTCTTCACATTTTTTGAGACAGCGTCTCTCACTGAACCTGAGGCTTGCAGTTCGGTGAGGCTCCTGGTCAACGAGGCTCCTGGATAATGAGTCCTCAAAATCTACCTGTCTCTACCACCCACACTGGGGTTACAGGCACATGTGGCCATGGCCAGCTTTTATGTGGGTTCTGGAGGTTGGTACTCTGGAATTCTTGCTTTCACAGCAAGCACTCTTACCCTGAGTCATCTGCCCATCTCCAACACTCAGGTTTTAGATGACCTTGCCAGTATCTAGGCCATCCTGCTCTTTTAACAGAGGAGGGAATGTATCCAGAGACTGTGGTTTGCCTAAAGTCGCACACAAAGTTCATTCATGGTAGAGATAGGGGAAGAACCAGGACCCATGCCTTAAGTTCCTACAACTGACTGTCCGTGGGTCATGTAAAGGGCAGATGTAGCAAGAAGAAGAGAAGCAAGGTGCCCAGCTAATTCACAAGCAATCCCGGATGATGTCATCAGGACTGATCATTAATGTCACATGAGTATCTGGTAATGTGGGAAATACGGAGTAGCCCTGCAAGATAACTTTGGTTCACTTTCTAAAGGCCCACAATGCCTGCAGCTCCATTGCCCAAAGGCTTCCAGCATGTCACACTACTGCATTTGACACATGCTACGCACTGAGGCCTGGTCCTGGCTCTGTGGGGTAGGTGGTGATTTCTCGAGCAAGAAACCTGAAGCTCAGCTCTGAAGCCACACACCTAGTCAGAGGTAGGTCTGGGACTTGGGCAGAGGTTTCTGTCCCTCCCTCCTCCCCTCCCTCCCTTCATCCCTCCATCCCTCTCTCCCTTCCTCCTTCCCTCCATCCCTCCTTCCTTTGCTCTTCTATCCCTTCTTCCTTTTTTCTTGTTATTTAATGATTTGTTTAATTTATTTAGTGTGTGTATGCGTGTGATGTGCACATGTCTACAGCACAGTATGAGGATACTTTGTGGAAATCAGGTCTCTCCTTCCATCATATGAGTCACAGGGATTGAGTTAAGGCTGTCAGGTTTGGCAGGTACCTCTATCTGCTGAAATATCTGGCTGTGCCTGAGCAGAAATTTTTATGTTGAGAAACATGGTCCTTTTAAAATGTCTTATAAGCAAGTAAAAGACCTTAACATTTATACTCACACTGTTCAGATGCACCGTGAGCATTTTAAACCCATAACTACACACACCTTAAACTTCATAAAATAATGAAATGGCTACGTAAATAACAGTGGTTTGGAACAGTGACATGTAAGTATTTGGTATTAAGCTAACAATATTCACATTCGGGTCAGAAAAGGACTCAAATCCTTAGATGTAAAGATACCCCGGGCCTGAGGTGTAGATGGACAGTTTTTCCTGCCCAATACCAAGATAGATTTTTAAAACACTCCCCATAGTTTTCCTCTATGAGGAAACCATATAAATTCTCTCATGGAGAACACTATTTATGGTACCAATATAAACTAGGATTACTTTTTCTTATATCAGGAAAGTTCTCATTGCCTTTTCTTTCTTTCCTGTGTTTTTCTTTTTCTTCTAAACTCATGATTGAAACTTCTGATGTACAAGCATGACGGCTATGGAAATCATTCTCACTGATTCCTGGCAGAGGGGAGGTTGCATATTCTGAATGTCACAGTTCTTGTTTTATGATAACTAAGGTGATGTGTAAATTCCTGATGGAGGGTTGGGAAGAGAGACCCAGGTCTAAACCCACTGACTGTGCTATAACACCTAGAAAACTGGGTGTGTAGCTTTAGCTACAAGAATTTTTGGGGCTAAAAATACAATAAGCAACCAACAGTGGATGATTCATGTGGGAACATCTAACTCTGAATACCTAAAGCATCCTTGGACATGATGTTTTCTGCCAGTATCTCATCTCCAAAAATGTCAACCAAATTAATTTGTTTTTAAAAAACCTCTCCACACATAAAGCCTGCATATGAGAACTGACTATACTACATTGACAAGTCCTCTCATTTATAGTGTGAAACAGGGTGGCTAATAGGCTACCCTTTGAACACACACAGGGATGACCTAACCACCCCTCCCCACATTATCTGGATGCTTTGGAAGTTGGGAATTAGTAAGTCGGGAAAAAGAAAACCAATGGGTCCCACCTCCTCTACAGCAAGGCAGGGAGGGAGAGGAGTATATGAGAGCCACACTGTGTCCACAAAGGTTCCTGCTTTCTTTGTTGATCTTGAACCAAACCCTTTCCCCTGTGAATACTCCTCAATATCAAGCAAATGAAGAGCATCTACTTACAGTCTGTTGCCATGCCAACATAGATGCATTTCTTAAAGCGACATTCCTGGCACTGGTTGCGAGTGACTTTGTCTATGACGCATTTTCCTTCATATTTACAGGAATAAGATGGATGGAGACTTTTCTGAATGGTTCTTCTAAAGAAACCCTAAATGAGAAAGATCCAAGAAAACAGGTTGTGTTTGTGTCTACTTAAGAAAGTGATCAACTGTTCTGGCCCTTAGCCCTGACTCCTCCAATAATGATCTGTGACCTGCAAGTGTAAGTCAAAGCAACCCATTCTTCCCACAAATTGCTTTTTGTTAGAGTTTTACAACAGCAATAGCATGAAACGAGTAACACCTCAGGTTAGTATTTAGAGGGAACTGTCGTGATTAGGTCTTTCTTTGAAAACAGTGTGTGGAGGGGCAACATCAACTTTCCTTCTACAAAATGCAAAGTTGCACATCATGGAAGTTAAAAACTCAAAAATCTTTCTGTTGCTAGGGCAATACAGTCTGTCCGTATCCACTGTAGGTTTGAATAAATTGTGAGGTATGACCTTTTCATCTCCAGATACTCTTGAAGATGATATCACATTTGAAAAACTCTTTCAATCTTTCCCAAGTTGCTTCTTCATCATATTAGGAGATCTTTTTTTTTTTTTTTTGGTTTTACGAGACAGTGTTTCTCCGTATTGTTTTGGAGGCTATCAGTCCAGCCTGCCTCTGCCTCCCGAGTGCTGGGATTAAAGGCGTGCACCACCACCACCGCCCGGCCATATTAGAAGATCTTGAGAGCCTTTTGTTGCTCCCAGGTTCTTTCTTTGGGTCTGTGATGGGAACAACTTACATAAGGCTCTAATCTGATGCACAGGCACAGACATGTGGAGCCTAGGTTATGCTATATGATGCTCTTGTTATGTTTTTAGAGATTTATTTTAAAGTGTGTGTGTGCGTGTGTGCGTGCGTGCGTGCGTGTGTGTGTGTGTGTGTGTGTGTGTGTGTGTGTGTGTGTGTGTAACTCCCATGTACAGGTGGGTTCAGAGGCTGGGAGAGGACTTTGGATCCCCTGAAGCTGGAGTTATGGGTAGCTGTGAGGTGTCTGCTACGGGTCCTGGGGACTCAGGGCCTCTGAAGGAGCTGGAATTGCTCTTAACCATCTACTCATCTCTTCAGCTTCTATACGGTGTTTCTTTTAAGAAAATTTCAGCTGAATCATGTCTCTAAACACCTAGTAATCTTGGGCTGAGACTAGTTGATTTTAGTGAAGTAGGGCCAGGCAGTGGTGAAAGCTTGACTCTCCTCTTGTTAGGGAAGTTGCTGGAAATGTATCTTGTCATAGGCATAGCCAGTCTTTAGAACCGCTTTGGGGATTTAAGAGTTGCAGTGACTTTCACTATAGTTTCTCTCATTTCAAATTTATTCTTATGACATTGTCATAAGAGCATTCTAATGTGGTGTAACAAGGCAGGTGAAGCTTTGTACATCAGGGCTGATTCAGACAAAACAGGACAAAGGCTAGTTTCCATTACTAGTTTCAACTCTTCATCTTGGAAGTAAGAGAATGAACCTAAAGCCACATAATCGTATTGCTTCCTTTTCCCCAGCACCAGGGATTGGTTGGACATAATGGTACTCTGCTACTATACTCTATCCTCAGGGCATTTTTTTTTGTTTGTCTGGTTTTTTTTTGTTTGTTTTTTTAAGACAGGGTTTCTTGGTGAGCACTGGCTGTGCTGAAACTTGCTCTGTAGTCCAGGCTGTCCTTGAACTCAAGATTCCCTGTCTCTGCTGGGATGAAAGGCATGCAGCACCACCTGGCTTAGTACTTTTTATTTTTTATTTTTGAGACAGGGTCTAAGTTGTCCAGGCTAGCCTCCAACTCACTCAGTAGCCCAGGATAGCCTGGAACTTACTGTGTTTCTGAGACAGTCTCTTAAGTAGCTGGTATCACAGGCCTGAGACAGCAGACTTAATTCCTTTCAAATGAAGCAATGAAACCATGCTTTAAAGAGCAGGTCTGCAACTGCACATCTCCTAACTAATCCACAGCCAGGGCTTGGGATTAGCTTTTTAAACCCCACAAGACCTTATTTTCATAGAAGCAACATAACCTTTAGCATAGTCTTGTCATCTAGAAAATCTGTATCAAAAGAATCTTGGGGAAAGAGAGTCTCTTGCTTCATGTACATTCTAGCTGATGATGTGGTGAATGAGGCCCCAGGACCTCAGAAAGGACAGAGATTGCTGCCTTTGTAGAGATGCCACAGTGTCACAGTACTTCTTAATATTATCTGCAAAAACTAGGGGACCTGCATGGAAAATCTCCCACCAAGGAAGTGGAGCCCACCTTGGTGTGGCTGGACCTAACCTGTTAACTGTGGGGGTTTAAAGGCTAGAGCATGATGGAAGCCAGGGAGAGTGTAGAGGAAAGAAGGAAGATGTGGGGAAGGGAAGGGAAGGGAAGAGGAAAAGGGAGAGGAAGCAGTCTTTTCTTTAACTTCAATACAAGTTTAACTGTGAACTCTACAGGAAATACAAGGTCCTTCCCTGGTTTTTAAGACATCCCCTTTATGCAGCATCAGCTGCATGGGTACCACACTGGGTTAAGTCTCGTTACTTTTATTTTCTAACTTAGACTGATGGACCAAAAGATCGTTTCCATAGTGCTTATCTTCATTTTACTGATGAAGATTCTAAGTAGGCAGATGTAAGCTCCCTTTGGAGAAATGAATGCACCGGTATGATTTGTCAAGGCTCTCCTGAAGAAAGGTTTGCAGAGCACAAAATTACCTGCTCCAACCTGATTCCATTTATTACAGGCTCTGTGGAAAGCCACTTTGAATAAATGCCGGAATATAATTGAGTCTAAGTGGCTTCAAAGATTCTGCCTAATGGAACCCTTGGAAGTGGCATATTCATGCAGACCCACAGCAGCGAAGGCTCTGGAGGAGCAAACTCAGTCTTCTCAGACATTGCACATAAACTCAGAGGAGAAACAGTGAAACACTGGGTTGATTATTTGTTAAAAATGTGCCTTAAAACTCAAGTAAGTGTCATTAATTTATTTTCTTTTTGCCGTCTTTCCATTTTAAAGACACAAGAAACAAAACACCACCCTGTTGTAAAATTTCATTTAGTTGCCCATGATTTAGGAAAAAGATAAATTCAGACCTTGTGTATATCAGAAATGAAGAGGACCAATGGAGCCCTTGATGGCCGGAGGCTATGAATGTTGGATTATATATATATATATATATATTTCATTTCATCCAGGGCAGGGCCAAGACCCTCCCCCAAGAGTTCAGGGTGAGAGTGCATCTCTCATTGTTAGATGGGAGTCAAAAGTCCATTTGTATGACAGGGATGAATACTGACCTACTACCCAATGGATTTTGTTTTGTAATACTGAGTTCTAGTGACTCTCTGGGAGAGGACAGGTGCTGCACCATGGCCTGTGCTGGGGACCCTGGCACTTACCTTGCAGCCTTCACAGGTGATGCAGCGGTAGTGGTACCCCGTGGCTTTGTCCCCACACACTACACACAGCTCGTCCTTGTCTAAATAGCTGGGGATATACCCTGCAAAGGACAAAGCGGAAGGTGAAGAAACAGCATCATGTCAAAGCAAAGACAGCCAGAAAGCTAACGTTGCCCAACCAGATACAGGATTGTTTGCTCAGAGGTGATAGCAGCAGACTCAGTGGAGCCAACTAGCACCCAGAGCGCAGCAACCCGTCTTAAATACAGATCCTGCTTGCTGTAGGAGGCACCATCTGAGCTGGGTGCGGGAGCCCACGAGTCATGGGATATTTGAAGCAGCTGCTGCACAGGTGTGGATGGCCTGGGCGGTACACGCTCCTTCACAAAGCTCATTTCAGAGCTTGCACATAAGTCCCCATCCATTCTCAAGACAAGATATGAGGCAACAATGCAGGCAGCCTTATGATACAGCAGCCAAGTACTTCCTGGGCCAGGGCATTGGCTTTAAAGGGGTAGGAATTACAGATCAGAGAATGAAATCCAACACTGCTAACATCTGGTGTCAGGAATGAGTTGTGTTGCTTTTATTCCTAAAAATAGAGAGCTTGAATGGATGAACAAATGAATACACAGCCTAACATTGCTGGGTGGAAAGAAAGAATAGACATTCTGCTGATGAAGGAAAGACACCCTTCATACTGTGTTTAGTGGTGGGTCAGACTCTCTGGGCTCAGAAAGATCTGGTTAAAAATAACATCAATCGCATCCTTCTTCCTGCTTTGCTTGTTTCTTCATCTTCACGTGCACACATGCAAACACATGCTAAAAACACGTGTGCTTGCAGATAAGCTCAAGCCATTCTTTAAAGAAGTGATGATTTATTGGGATGAGAAGGTAAGAAAGGCAGAAGAAACAGGACCTTTCCCTGTCTTGGACTCAGGGAATCTTTCTTAATTTTAACCATGATTGTGGAGGTTGAGCAGACTGGTAATTTACTGTGTATTTTCCCACGACATTTTCATAGACCTTTTGTGACAACTGGAGACTCATCTTTCAAAACAGAAAAGATGTGAAGAGAACTATTCCTTTCCATCACTTATCAGAAATGACTGCGTAGACGTCAGTCTAGGAAAACATTACTGCTTTAGATGCAGGTAGAGGGCTAGCTGGTGCTAAGCAGGGTTGTGATTTTAACTACATTAGCTTTTCTTAGTTTGCTTTATCAGGGAAATGATGACTCAGTTGCTGGATTCAAGGTTTCCAGAACTCTTACCAAATATTTCATTTTAAAGTCTTCATGTTTTTAAAAGATTAGAAAAAACTAAATTCTATGTGTGTCTGGGGGTTACTAGATGCACTTGCCTGTGGAGGCCGGAAGAGGGCACCAGCTCCCATGGAACTGGAGTTAACAAATGATTGTGCTGCCCACACTGGGTGCCTGGAACTAAACTCTGGCATTCTTAATGGCTGAGCAATTCTCCAGTATCTCATCAGGCACTTTAAAAATAATTCAGGGCTAGTTTGTGGTGGCACATGCCTTTAATCCCAGCACTCATGAGACATTGGCTGACAGATCTCAGTGAGTTCGAGGCCAACCTGGTCTGAAAAGTGAGTTCCAGGACAGCCAGGACTGTTACGCAGAGAAAATTCGTCTCAAAAAAACAAAAACCAAACAAACAGAAATAAATAAATAAAACAAATAAAATTCTGGGCTAGTCTGTGGTGGTACACACCTTTAATCCCAGCACTTGGGCAGCAGGGGCAGGCTTGTCTCTAAGTTTGAGAGCAGCCTGGTCTACAGATTGAGTTCCAGGACAGCCAGGGCCACACAGAGAAACACTGTCTCAAAACAACAACTACTTCTGGGAAGTCCTGGAGCAGGGACAGAAGGAAGGGAATGGTTTGTTTTCAATCGCTCATTTATTGATTACTCCAACCAGAATGTATTTAGCATATACAGTGTGCTAAGCATTATATCAGGCACACTGAATATAAAAACAAATAAAACTGAATGCTTTGCTTTGGGAAGCCTGTAAGCAACTAGTTCTGTTTCTCTGGCTCTGTTCATTTCTCAGTGAGAGAAGGAGTTAAAAGTGAGGGGAAGATGATAAAAAGATTCTCAACATCATTGCAGAGAACTGTACACAGAAAACACGCTGAGATACCAACCACACTTAGTAGGATGGTGTGATGGTAAGCCCTCATTGTCAACTTGATTAGATTTAGAATAACGCAGGCACCACACTTCTGGGCATGTCTATACGGGTGTTTCATAAAGGTTCAGGGGAGGTGGGAACAAGGGGGACATGAGCTCATCATCATGAATCTTTCTTAGCTTCCTGGGTCACTGTCTTCTCCCTGCGGTCACAGCTTCTCCACCACTATAGATTGAATCCTCCCCAAACTTCGAGTTCCACAAAACCCTTGCTCCTGTAAGTTGCCTTTGTCAGATATCTGGTCCCACCAACAGAAAAGTAACAAGAATGACAGACAAAAAGTGGCAGAATGGTTTGTGCTCACAGGGGGGGCCTGGGACACAAACAACTATCTATACAGCACAAAGGAACTTTTAAATAACAAGTGATCCAAATTATTAATACAAATATCCTGGCAAAGGTGGTAGACAAGTCACTGACGGCAGAATTTTACTGTGATCTCTTCTATACAGTTGACCCAGCAGAGAGGGGGGCTTTTGAGTTCTTGTTGTTGAGGCAGATGGCAGGTTTCAGGGAGAAGAGGCAAAGGAACCGTGTGTAAAAGTGTTTGCTGGCTCATGAAACATGCCTAAGAAGAGTCATGGGTGTCTGGGGACATGAACCGGAGTTGGGGAGATGCAGGGAATTCATCTTTCCTTCTGATCCTTCATCTGGCTTCACCACACCCGCTGGCGCTATCTTTTGGCATGGGCACAAGGACATTGAAGATTTTCTCTTCTTGGTAGAGCAACAATATGTTTGTGTGATCCTTCGACCTTCAAAGTTCTTGTGAATTGGAATCCAGTGGTATTCGTTTCTTTTCTGCTGCTGTGATAAAATACTCTGACAAAAAACAACTTAGGGAGAGAAGGGTTAATTTTGGTTTACAGTTCCAGAGAGATAGAGTCCATCATGACAGGGTAGGCATGGCAGTAGGAGCAGGAAGCCAGCTGGTTACATTGTGTATAAGATGGAGCTGGGAGTGGGATGAGGCTAAAAACTCAAGTCCTCACCTTCTAATGGACTTCCTCCAGCAGGGCTCCTCCTCCTAAGGGTTCCATGGACTTCCCAAGCAGTGTCACTGATTGGGGACCAAGCCCTGGGGGGACATTTCTCATTCAAACCACCACACCGATGCCCATTCAGTCAGGCATCAGGAGTCTTTTCACATTCTGACCTAGGGAAGGAATGCTTTACTTTTCTCTCGGGTTAATTTCCTGGTGGGTGGAGTTGTTTAAATCCCTTCTATTAATCAACCAACTTGCTATAGCAATAATTACTCTAGTTAGTAGAGTAGCCATGCTGGTGTACCCCAAACATTCTTTTCTTTTCTCTGCAATATTAGTTGAACAATCTTATTTATCTAAGGCAGTTGCCACAGGTAATGACATACCAATCATCTGCCTGAGCCCATTGTTCATCAGAAAATAATGCCAGGAGGTCTGGTGTCCTGCACATAGTAAACAGGCCTGCAGGCAGTCTCCTCTGGCATCTCCGTGTACATGGTGGTATGGCAGCTCCTGCCCCCCTAGAGAACTGAGCTACTTTTTGCTGTTCAACGTCACAGTCTCTCTGTTTCCACCTTTCACACCCACAAAATGAGTCGCATGCTGCCAATGTGGTCAAGTAAGTAAAAGTGCCCAGACATTAGTTGTGTTGCCAAATGTGGACACTAGTGAGTGACATAATGTTAGCGTTGGATGCCTAGGTCAGGTGCCAGATGTGTCACCTGAGGAACTGTGGATACAATTGTCCCAGGTCAACATCAGAAAGATTGTTGGAGGTTATAATTAAAGAATCAACTAAGGCCCATGACAATTCATGAGAATTCAAGGTTGGTGTGTCTTTCCCAGTTTATATTTGCTTGTATGAATTATTTTTCAGACTAATAAGCTATGCTGTCACATTGTTAAACACACACACACACATATATATATATACATATATATATTTGCTTTTAGGTGCACATCTATACGTATTTTTGTTTGAGGGTGTGGTGCTGTGAGTTACAGACACTCTACAACTGACCTGTAGTCCCAGTCCCTTAAGCAACGTTTAAGAGAGCAAGTGACATTTGATTATTCAAAAAGGACTTGGAGAGTTTTGTTTTTAGTAACATTTGGCTCATTTGATTAACTACTAAGTATTGCCGTGAACATAAAAATGGTTGTTATGGTAAAATAGTACTTTTTAAGATTTTTTCTTTTGGTAATAGCTTTACTAAGATAACACAATCAATTGCTTTTAATATGTTTGTGGGGTTGCACAACTACGGCCGCTTATTAGTCTCAGAACATTTTAATTATCCCGAGAGAAGCACCTGTCTTTTAGTGTCGCCTATCATTACCCCCTTCTTCTCCACCCCTTTTGCTACCTTGATGCACTCTCTCTTTCTACAGATCTGTCTCTTATTGCCATTTCAGACTCATGGGGTAAAACTCCAGATGATCTTTTGTGGCTGGCTTTTCATTTCACAGAATGTTTTCAAGATTCATCCACGTTGCAGGCAACCCTGATGACACAAAACGATTCTCGGAGGAGTTGGGGTTTGGGGAGCAAGAGTTCTGTTCTGGTTTCCTGTTTACATTAGATCCAGGGCATTCTCTTGTGGGGACAAAACCAGGAGCCTGGCCAGGTTAGCTCTTTTGAATGAATTATGCGGTACGACAGGTCCTTGGAGAACACCTGGTGCTTCCTGTCACCTTAGCAGACACACAGCGAGTAAGCAACAGGGTGTAAAATAGGTTAGCCTTGATGACAGATCTAACGTTGAGGGTGCTGTGAAGAGAGGGATACATAGGTGTGCATGCCTTTCATTGGTGACTGGTCTTAACCTCAGAGCAGACGACTTGCCCAGTTGGACCAGTCCTGATGTCTAGAGGAAGTATTAGCCGTCACAGTGGG